TCGTAGGAGAAATCGTAATTTGCCTACTATAAAGCAAATATAAAACACAAAATAAAACTATAATGAGTCTATGAGGTAAAACTAAAATAGACAGCAAAATTGTGACATATCTGTAAGGCCTGTAAGACAATAAAAAATTTCATTTTTTTTTGTATCATTCGTTTAATTTCATTTTTTTTCATATTGTTTATTTAATTTCATTTTTTTTTTCATATCATACATTTAATTTTATATTTTCTTTTCATTTTATTTTTTTAATTTTATTTTTTTGTTTTATTTTATTTTTCTGTTTTGTTTCATTTTTCTAATTTCATTTTTTCATTTTGTTTCATTTTCTTAATTTCATTTTATAGTTTTTTTTATTTGTTTAATTTCATTTTTTCATTTTATCTTGTTTACTTAATTTTATTTTATAGTTTCATTTTAGTTTTTTAATTTTATTTTTTCATCTTATCTAGTTTTCTTTTTATTTTGTTTATATTTTTTTCTTTTCTTTTATTTTTATTTTATTTTAAAAAAATAATAAATTAAATTTTTTTTTAAAAAAAAATTTAAGTAAATTAATAAAACTGTTATATAATAATTAACAGATTGCATATACAAAATAATATGAAAATATTTCTGAAAAAATTATATCATAGTAAAATTATATTTGTGTAATAAAATTAGTAATTATTTACTATAATGAATTATTCGTTATAGCATTAATGAAAATTCTTATAATAAAGGTCTGATTAATTGAATTGATAACTTTATTATATTGAGGCGTAAATGTAATAGTTTTATTATAGATAGAAATAAATAAATAAAATTTATATTTTAAGTTTTTTATAAATTTTAATATATTATTTTATATATTTTAATTGATTAAAAAAGTAATTAATAATTAGATAAGTTTAATTATCTAATTATTTATTTGAATTATTTTAGATTATGTGCAATTATCTAATATTCAATTATTAACATCAGAGACTATATGTTTTTTAACAAATTATTATTTTTATAATATTAATTGAAAAATTTTTACTAAATAGATTTGTTATAATTTATAAAATTGATTATTATTATTATAAATAATACTTAAGTTATGTAATAAGAATACTAGTACCTTAATAGTTTAAAATTAATTTAAATTTTTCAGCTAATATTTAATATAAACTGAATTTTGTTATTTAAAATAATTAAAATAATATGTTTTTGTCAAAGAATTTTTGCAATTGATTTATATTATTAATTGAAAAGTTTTACTAAAAATAAAAAAATTAATAAAATAAAAATAAATAAAATTTCTAAAAAAAAATAGAATAATTAATAAATATAAATTTCAAAATATAAGTTATTAAAAATAAATTATATTTACAATTTAAAAGCTTATTATTATTTGTTAAAATAAAAATAAAATTATTAGTAAGTATAAATTTATCAAATATCAAAACTTTTAAAAATAGATTATATTTACTATTTACTTTATTCTTTTTTAGTTATAAAAAAAATTTAGTAAAATAAAAAAAAATAATAATTAAACTTCAATAATAAGTATAATACTTCTTTAATTTTAAATTCTTATTTCTAAATAATTTAATATTGTATTTATTTTCTAAAAATATATACATAATTTAAAATATATTACAAATATAAAACTTTTATTAAAATATAAATATAAAACTTTTTTATTTATATAAGACATTCTAAAAGTAAATATTAAAAATGTTATAATATTTCACTTCAAGTTTAGTTTTTTATCATGATATAATATTTTAAATAAATAAAACATATTATATATAATATATATTTTTTTCTTTAATATACTATTTTACAATAAATTACTAGATTTTATAAATTTTATTTAGTAATATATAGTAAAATTGAAGATCTTTAAGGTTGTATAAAAGTTGTCTGATTTTTTTTTTATTTAATAGCTGATTAATTATAGTTTTTAAATATTAAAATGAAAAAAGAAATTATTGAATAAAAAAATTTAGAGTGAATTTTATTAAAAATTCATAAACTTTTATGCAATCTGAAAATTTTCAATTTTACTATATATTACTAAGTAAAATTTATAAAATCTGATAATTTATTCTAGAGCAGTGTAGTATTATTATTATTTCATTTATATTATAATCATTTACCAAAAAATTAAATTTTTTCTGATATTAAAATCTAAAAAATTGTTTTAACTTTTTAATTAATAATTTAAGTTAGAATGATCTAAAATTCCTTTTTTAAGTTTAAATATTAAAATATTTCTAAAAGTAATTTTATAAATTAAAAGTAAATTATATATATAATATATTAAAATTCTTTTTTGTTCTTTTATCAAAACATTAATTACTATTTTTAACTACTTTATATATAGTGTGAGACAAAAAAAACTGAAATTTTTTTTGAGAAATAAAAAGATGCAGATCTTAGCCAAATCAAATCTGATCAAACTATATAAAAAAGAAAATAATCGTAAGGTAAGTAAGTATATAATTTTTTTTTATATTACTAAATATTAAATTTTTTTTATTTCTTTCTCTTAATATTTTCAATTTTTTTAAAAAAACCTTAAAAATTACCGTATATTTCTGAAAATAAGCATTCTGTGACATGCTCCTTTTATAGTAATTTATTTATTTATCACATGGAATTTATTATATTATTTGTCACATATATACTAATAAATTCATATATATCACGTGGTGCTTATTTTCAGAGAAATATGGTAATTAATTAAAAATGATAATCTCTAGATAAGAAATTAACCATCAAGTGATCTTACAATTATAAATCAAGGTATTTGGAAGGCTAAAAAAATCTATTAATACACTGAAATTTTCCTCATGACTGTATATGATAACCTTATTAAACTTTGTGAATCTAAGATAATTCAGCATTTAAAAGAAAGTGATTGTCTAAAAAAGATTACAGCTAATACATTAAGAGTGTTAGTCCAATTTATCTGCTAAGATTCTTCTATTTTAACAAGGATCTTATTAACGAGATTGTCATTAAAAAATATAAATGTGTTCTATAGGACAGTAGGAAAGCATTTAGCCAAAATTGGATATCAAAAAGACTTTCTAAGAGCAATGTCAATGCTGACTGCAGACCATAAATGTAAACAGGTAAAATAAGCCCAAAATTATCTTAATGATGATTAGAATAAAATTCTATTTTTAAATGAAACTACTTTCTAACTATTTCAGAATATTGTAAAGCGCTAGTATAAAGGATAATGACTGATACACCTTATGTTTAAAGACCAAATGAAAATCTTTACATAGAGAGGATTTTGTGTAAAAAGAAAAATAAGTTTATATTATTTTTCTCAAATAATGAATGCTGAATTTTATATAAACATACTCTGTAGCTATCTTTCAGAGATTGAAGACTTATTGGAAGATGAATGGCATTTTTAGTAAGACAATGATTTAAAACACACTAGCAATCATGCCAAAAAATTTCTTTGAAAAAATTTTTCTGAAGTTATTGACTGGCCTTCTACTAGTTAGACCTAAATCTGATAAAAACCTTTGAAGTATTGTTAAAAGAAATGTGAAGAAAAAAATGCCAAAGAATACTGATGATTTGCGTTATTATATGATCAAAGAATAGGACAATATTCTGGAATTGATCCTAATTGGATTAGTAGAATTAATAAAATGCTAATGTAAACTTATTATAGAAAATATAATAAACAAATTCCATTCTAATAAAATATTAATAAAATTAGCTAGTATTTAGTTTCAAATATATAATAAATTTTATGTAGTTAATGTTATTAATTTTGTGTAATGTGTATTTAAAAATTCTGGTTTTTTTTATCTTACACTGTATAATAGACATTCAATTTGATAGTATTAATTTGTTGAGAAGTAAAAAGAAAAAAAAGTTAAAAAAGCTATTTTTATATAATAGTAATAAGTAAAGATGAAATTTCAATTAATTAAAAATAAATAATAAATAAGCATGGCTAATTGCAACATTATTAAAAATCAAATTGCAATAGATGGCAAATAAGTATAATATTGTAATATCATTTTAATAATAAAAATAAAAATAAATTTTATTTAAAAAAAAAAAATAAATAAAAAATAAAAACTTCTTTATATATTTAAATTTATTACATAAAAAGATATTCTATCTCTAATACATTAGTGTTTATGGTTAATATTATTCATTTAAGAGACAGATCATCACTCAATAGGAGAAATTCAATAATGCCAATTTACATAAATCATTACTAAAAATGGTTAATACGTTTTTTTACCAGATTATCGTATCGTCACGTGATATGATATGCAAAATTTTTAAATACAGTAATTAATAGTGTCAATCCTAGCTAAGCCACTTGTAGAATTTGAAGTCACCAAAGTTTCACTTCTTTCAACTTTATTATGGAGGAACATAAAATTTTAATATAAATTTTTAGCTAATTCAAATTTTAAAAAAATTATTTTTGAACAATTTTAACCAAGAATGAGATAATTTTAGGTTTTTATTTAGTTTTTAAACCTTTATTTAGTTTAATAACTATTTCTTTTTTATTTTTTTTTATTTTTTATATATAGAATATTCTTCTTAATCACAAACATTTACTATTTATTTCTCTTTTAAAGTTCTGCTTGTTATATTATGGTTTGTTGTTTACCATATTTTCTGTAGCTTGTTCTTTAAATATCCGTGCATAAGCTGAAATCTAATTTTGTATTATTGTTATCTTAAGTACGTCTTCAGCTTCTAATTCACCAGATTCAACAAACATCAGCAGCTCATTATACATATCCTTTGCTGACATTTTATCCTTTTAGTTGAGATTTCCATTCAAAAAATAACTTTTCAACAACTCCTTTACCTGCTTTTTCATTCTTTCTCCCTTGCCTTTTCTACCTAATTTTTAATTACTTTTTAATGCCCATCCCATAGGAAATTGAAAATTCATATCAACAGAACTACTAATTCGATGCAAAACATGTAAGTTTGAATTATATTTGTTTAAACTTTACATTTATTTACCTTGTATCTTCTAATTCATCATTGCTATTATTATTATCTATAAATTCTGGTATGCTAACTGTATCTGCTTCTATAAAATACATTAATCAATGCATTTATGTAGGAAATGAAAAAACAATCTATCTCAATTCATTACCTGGTAGAGGAATTGTCTAAGTTGATTCAGATTCAATATATTCAGAAATCTTTGGATGAGGACGAATAATTGGTTTGGTACAAAGTTTAGCAATTGCAGCAGGTAAAAAATTACCGTATACCTCTGAAATTAAACATCCTTTTTTGCTATAGAGGTGCTTAAATTCAGGTACTAATAAAATTGCTAAATTTCCAATCCCAGAAGCTATGTAAAAATATTAAATATTTTATATTTTGTAACACCTTTGATTGATCATCTTATTACATGATCTGTAACACTTTATTTAATTGATCATCTTGTGATATAATACGTGAATTAGCATTATCTTTTTGCGTAACTTTTTATATTACACAAAAATGTCACATAAAAAACTGTCTCAACACAAAAGAAAAAATAAGCTACAAAAAAAAGGTTAAAAAAGTTGCAATACGAAAATGAACTTCATATTTTCTTTATCAAAAAGTACAAGTAGTGGAATATGCAAAAAAATTTGGAAAAAATAAAGCAGCTGCTCATTTTAAATTTAATGCTAGTATGGTTGGACGTTAGACGAAAGTAAGTACAAATTGATCAACTGAGATAAATAAAAATAGCAGACGAATTGGAGCTGATCGAAAAGCTTTTTTTCCTGAAGCTGAAAAAAAACTGTATAGTTGGATAATAGAACAAAGAAAGCAAGCTTTTGCTGTAACTTATGCAATAATTAGAAGTAAAATCCTGAAGATATTGGAAGAACCCGAAATGTTAGTTCTTTATGATAATCTATCAAAGGATTTTAAAATGTTACACTGTTGGCTAGTTGCATTTTTGAAATGATATGGATTAGCATTAAGACGACATATAAATATAGCCCAAAAATTACCAATTCAAACTCAGGAATTACTAGAAAATTTTCAACAATTTGTCATTCGTCTTAGAACTGAAAATTCTTTCAAATTGAATGAAATTTTTAATATGGATGAGATCCCAGTTTGGTTCGATATGGCTGGCAATATTACAATTAATCTAAAAGGTAAAAAAACTATGTATATTCGAGCAACTAGTAATGAAAAAAATCAGTTTACTGTAGTTTTAACTTATGCTGCAGGTAGATTCTTTGAATTTATTGAAAATGAAAGTAGAAATTTTATTATTCTTATTGTTATTTATTTTTATTATAGACGGTACTAGATTACTATCTATTTGTATTTTTAAAGGAAAACGGATACCGCGAGAAGAACAAGTTCCGCCTGGAATAGTAGTTTGGTTTCAAGAAAATGGATAGATAAATGCTGATTTGATGAAAAGGTATGTAAACTATCTTAATAATTCAAGAACTAATAATACTACAGCAATGTTAGTATATGATTCATTTAGGGGTTATTTAGAAGAATCCGTTAAAATAAAGTTTCACAAAAGTAAATATAATTTAGCTGTAATTCCAGGTGGATTGACTAGCATTTGCTAACCACTTGAAAGTGCAGATGAGATTGATGATGAAAGTGCAAATGAGGTTGAAAATGAAATTTTGGATATTATAAATGTTGATAGCAGTGATATTGATGAAGGTAATAGTATTGATGGTAATGTTAGCGATAATAATAATGGTAGCAATGATGATAATTGTAGCAGTGATGATAATAGTAGTGATGATGATGACAATCGTTAAAATGATGTAAGAAATATTAATGGCAATGAATTCTTTTAAATAAAAAAATAAAAAGCATTTGAATTTTAAATAAATTGGTCATTTTAGCATTTAGATACTCAAAAAATTTGATAGTGCTTATTTTCGAATACTAAAAAAAATGATAGTGCTTATTTTTGGAGAGTACCTATTTTCGGAGGAATACAGTATTCTATGGACCAAAATGTGAAAGTGATCGGGCACATACATAATCTACCATTTCACCGGAAATTGGCCATTTCCAATAAAATAAGTTTGAAATACCTTTTATAGTTTTGATATTTGGTTTTGAATTTACCATATTTGCGTGAATCCGCATATTCAGAATAATTTTTAAATTTCCATTGGATCGCATTACTACGAGTGTCAAAGTCATTCAATAAAATCTCATTCATACTAGCTAGTACCTAAACGACCAAACGTCTTGTCTTGATTTCTTTGGTTTCTTTTTTACTAATATTATTTGTACTTTCATGATTTTCAGATTTAAATTGACCTCGATTTGGTTCTAAATTTGCCAGTGATGTACCAGATAAATGTTTAGCTGCTTCCACTATATCCTCTCCATCACAAATATCATATCCAATCCGAATATATCGTTTAATTAAATGGGAAATCTAAAAAGAAAAGGTAATTTTAATATGAATCTATTGCAATTTATAGCTATAATGATAATACTTACCATAGCATGATGGGAATCAATTGTTATTTTAGTTTTACCTGGTTCAAGAAATTGCTAATCACGAACCTCAATTTGATACCATTTATTCCAATGTGCAACTATAGCCATAAGTTCTGATGAATGATAATGTATTCCATTATCTGAAATTATTCTAATCATTTTGGTTTATGTTTTATTGTTTCAAAAACAGTTTCAAATAAAGAGGCAGTAAACCAAGCATCCTGCTTGGTATCAGTTGACCAGTGATTATAAGCATTTATATCTAATTCTTTGCAATCTTTTTTTTTTGTAAAAACTAGGATTGTATGAAGGGTTAATTCACATTTACCAAAAAACTTAGCCTTGGTTTCTCGAGTGAATTTTGGCAAAATTCTCATCTTATAATCAGTAACAAATAATGCGCCATTCTCATCAAGATTGGCTAATGTAGCTTTAAATTGAGCATTCAAGTATACCTTTCGTGTTATATGAACTAAAAAATATTGGAGATTTTCTTTTATTTCTTCTAAAAAAGAAACTTGATCCTCTGTTACATGTAAATACATAAATTCAAAAAATTCAAAAAATTTATCACATTCTGAACATCGTGAATTATGTTTTTCAGAACATTTACCAAAAGCATATGGTAAACAATGAGAGATACAAGGATTATGTTTTGTTGTACCATTAGCATTAATTACTAATTCTCTTTTATAATCACGATACAAATGACATTTTAAAATGTCAATTTTTTGTAATACATTATCCTAAAGATATTAATAAAAGGTAAATTATAATATTTTTTAAACAAAAATAATTTATTTATTAAAAAATACATTTTTACTTACTAATTCTTCTTTTTGTGAAAATATATTGTGTGCAATAGCTATTAAAGATTCAAATAGAGTATAACCATATTCATTACAAGTAAAACAAAGTCCACCCATATCATCCCGATATTTGATATTACTACAATTTGCTAATCGGCCCATAAATGATGTTTTTTTCATACCATTAGGAAAAGTATCTTCAAACTTTTTTCACAACTTGATTTTTTGATCACGCATATATAATATTGGTGATCCATTCTTATCTATCTGATAAGAACTTTGTGTAACTATACTTCAATCTTGAAAAAATATTAGAAATTGCTTTTCTTTAACTTCAGACATTCATTTAACAATTCTTTTTAGTTTTATTAGGCTTGATGCTCCTAGTCTATTAAGTCTTGCATGTTTACATGCAGAATTAATTATATCATTTCTCCTTATAATAATTTAGTTTTTTAAAATTTATTTATAATGAATTAATAAATATAATTTTTGATTTTACCTTCAATTTTTTTTTAAGTGTTTTATATGTAAAATTTTCGGCAATTATCGAAAGAATCCTAATTTTTTCATCAATACCTCTTTTATTTGCTTCTAAAGCTTTTTGCAAACTTTTTCAAAGTATTTCATTTTCATTATTGGATTGAAATTTTTTTTCCATTACTAATAACATTCCCGATTTAAAAAGTTTTACTAAATTATCTCTATCAGATGAAAGATCTAATGCCTTTGTCCAAAATTCAATTATATATTGATTTTTTATAAAAGAGTGATATTAGTATAACCAGAGACATGAAACATTGCTCGCCATGCACTTAATTCTTTTTTTTAAAATTGATAATCATCTGGATAAATTTGAAATAAAATTGTAGGAAATTGAATTATTGTATTGGTTTGTTTGTACCAATTTACAAATAAGGTTGACCAATTTAAAAATGTAGTAGCAATTTTACGTATTTTTATATTTTATTCAAATATAAGATTCAATATATCAATATTTTCCCAATCATCACTTATACAAGTAATTAAATTCTTACTCTTTTCTAATCTACTTAATTCTTTCAATTTTTATTGAACGTATGAATTAGTAATTCCAAATAAAGTCGCTCTATTATATTTTTTATGAATACCTGTAATTTTCCATATTTTATTAGGTGTAGTATCCTTATTATGATATAACTTAATACCTTCATGATAAATGTCTAAACTACATTTATCTTTTATAGATTGTACAAAAAGTGATTGTTTGCCGGTATATTTTGTTACAAGTGTAGAAAAATATCCTAGACCAGCACTATAATATCCTTCATAAGGTGAAACACCAATTTGACTGATCACAATTAATATTTTATCTAAACGAATAAATATTGGAATAAATGAAACATCGGCTACTAATTCATAAACAATTGCTTCATTATCAAAACCCATAACAACTAATCCTGAATGCTTAGTTTTATTACCAAAAATTTGATTATATATATTATTAATAGTTGTAGTAGCTGATGGTTGAGTTCCAGAATCTATACCATCACAAAGACAATGAAAACATGGATTTTGTGTTTGTTCATTATTAAGAACTGTTATTGCAAAGTTCTTACTATTAAGATAACAATTAACAGACATAAATATTCGATATGGTATTGAATTAATGTGAGTTTGATTAAATTTGCATGGTTCTTACCAATTTCTTACATGTATTCTATAATGCAAGTCTTTTGAAATAATTTCCTTAGTCAAAAGAGTTACTGTATACTGTTTTTTTTACTCATTAAAAAGGGTTGTATAATGAAGAACGTGAAATTCCCAAAAAAATTTTTTTATTAATAATAAAACCTGTATAATTAATTATAAATTGCCGATTATTTTATCCTATTAAGTGCTGATCTATCACTTAAAATTTATTTTATGAAAAAATTCAAAATTTTAACTTAATGTAAATATATCAGTATTTATTTCAAAGTTATTTATTTAAATTTAATTTAAATATATCAATATTTATTATCAAAGTTATTTATTTAAAGTTAATTTAAATATCTCAGTATTTATTTATTTTGTGATATAAATTTCTAATTCAATATAATAAATCATATGCAAATTTTTACTAATTTTAAATTAGTTTTAAAATTTCTTATTAAATTGTCTATTATACTCACTATCAATTAGGTGAATTAAAACACTTGATCGATTGAATAACAGCTAAGTTTAGCTCAGAATTCATGTTCATTTAGAAGAGTCTTTATAGTTTATTTAAATTTTAAACATGAATATTTGTCAAAAATTTTCATTATTTCATATAATTTGTAACTAAACATCTAATTCAACTTCCACTCCATATATTAGGCTTTTTTGATAATTATAATACGCCATATGTGATATATATACTACCCTTGGAAAAGTATCTGGTCAACCAAAATAATATTTTATTTATTTGAGATTTTTGATATAAATAAAACATTTAATATATTTAATATTCAGTAG